GAATACCGAAGGTCCAAGAACCACTTCCATGTCCTGACAGAATGAGTCGAGCCACGTTTTGAGTTGACCGCCTCTCCGACGTTTCCAATTAGGCAACGGTTTCGAGTCGAGGGTAGTAGCACTGAGCTTCTGAGGTTGACGACGAAGAACGTGTCCAAACCACCTCAGCCGGCTTTCCTGAATGGCCTGGGATATCCCTGTGATTTTGTCCCAGCCAGGGCGGACTGTCTCGTTTGAGACGAACTTTCCCATGCTGCGCCTGGGTAAAACAACATCTTCTACCTTACCCCAACCTTACACAACCACAGGAGCACGACAGACCGGGCCTTGCTAAAGTAACATGTAAAAATGTGACATCCCAAAAGAGGAAACTGTCAAAATTATCCTTTTTGGTTCTTCTGTTATCTTCGGAGCTGGGGTTGAAACACAACGACTTCATGCACAGAGGACATGAACAAAACGAGATAAACTTCAAGGCCAGGAGAAAGACACTGACCTGATTTATATCTTCGTCCAGCTCCACGTCAAAGCCAAGATCACTCAGCTCGTTTTTGGACACCTGCTCCGAGGCCTTCTTTTCGAACACCTTCCCACGAATCTTCTTCTCGTAGGGTACGGCCTCATCCCAGTCGGGATCGGCCTTGGCCTTCTCAACGAGAAATCTAAAATGACAAAAATTAAAACTTAATCTGGTGTTTGTGAAAAAAACGGCAGGAGTTTCCTTGGTAGCGCACATATGTTCTTATTTCTATTTAAATGCCTACACAATTAATTTCCGTTAGGGTAAGGGTTAGGGTAAGGGTTAGGGGAAGGGTTAGGGTAAGGGCTGGGGTTCGGGTAAGGGTTAGGGTAAGTGTTAGGGTAAGGGTTAGGCTAAGGTTTAAGGTTAGGGTAAGGGTTAGGTTGGGATAGTGATATCGCATGTAAAACGCCCCAAGTTTGTGTCTTACGGGAAGAGTTGGAGTAGGCATTTAAATATAAATAAGAAGATATGTGCGCTACCAAGGAAACGCCTGCCAAAAAAACAAAAAAAAACAAGAATGACAATGACAGCTTTGAAATACTAAACTACACCATTATACAGGGCAGACCGGACGACGACTTAG